CCCGATTGCTCTGCACCGTTAGCATGTAGGAGCAGCAGCAGTGGGAGCGGGGCTGCCAGCAGACAGGGGACTGGGGCCGTGGAGGGAGGGGCCGCGGAAGTTGGGCCGAGACCCGCCCCTGTGCCCACAGCAGCCTCACGGCCCACAGTTCCTTTCAAGGTGCATAAATTCATGCACTGGGCCCCTAGTATATAATAAAATTTACCATTTTAACCACGTGTAAGTGCACAGTTCAATGGTGTAAATACACCAATAATGTACTACCACCATCACCACCATCTCCAGAACTTTTTCATCCTGTAAAACTGAAACTCTGTCCCCATTAAACCCTCACTCTCCCTCCCTAGACACTGGCACCCACCCTTCTACTCTCTGATTTTGACAACTCTAAGCACCTCATAAATTGGAATCATGCAGCAATTGTCTTTTTTGTGACTTATTCCATCTAGCATAATGTCAAGATCAATCCATATGCATGTGTCACAATTTTCTTCCTTTTTTATGCTGAATAATATTCAATTTTATGTACTTATCACATTTTGTTTATCCATTCATCTGTTGATGGGCACTTGGTTGGCTTCCATGTTTTAGCTACTGTGAATAATGCTGCTGTGAATATGGGTGTGCAATTATCTGTTCATGTCCTTGCTTTCAATTCTTTTAGGTGTATACCCAGGTGCAGAATAGCCAGATCATATGGTAATTTTTTTTTAGGAACCTCCATGCTGTTTTACATCTGCACCATTTTATTCCCACCAACAATGCACCAGGGTTCTGATTTCTCCACATTCTCACCAACAATTCCTGTGTATTTTTTTTTTAATTTTTTTATTGATTTCAGGGAGGAAGGAAGAGGGAGATAGAAACATCAATGATGAAGAGAATCATTGATCAGCCTGCAACCCAGGCATATGCCCTGACCAGGAATCAAACTGTGACCTCCTGGTTCATAGGTCAACACTCAACCACTGAGCCATGTCAGCCAGGCTACTTCGTTTTTTTATTTTGTTAATCATACTTGAAGATATATGTTCCACTGATTTTCAGAGATTGTGGGAGGAAAAGAGGGCGGGATGGAGGGAGGGAGGGGAGAGAAATATCAATGTGAGAGAGACGCATCAATTGAGTGCCTCCTGCATGCACCCTAACCAGGCCAGGATTGAACCTACAACTGAGGTACATGCCTTTGACCAGGAATCGAACCTGTGACCTCTGTACTGGGTCGATGCTCTGACCACTGAGCAACACCAGCCAGGGCTTATTTTTTTTTATAGTATCCATTCTAACAAGTGTGAGGTGGTATCTCATAGCTGTGACTTGCATTTCCCTGATGATTAGTGATATTGAGCATCTTTAAGTGTACTCATTGGTCAATTTATCTCTAGTGAAATGTTTATTCAAGCCCTTTGCCCATTTTTGAATCAAGTTGCCTTTTTTTTTGTTTAGTTTTAGGACTTCTCTATATATTCTGCATACTAATCCCTTAACAGATGTGTGATTTTTCAAATATTTTATCTCATTCTGTGGGTTGCCATTTTACTCTGTTGATAGTTTTGATGCACAAATTTAAAAAATTTCAAGTCCGACTGTCCTTTTTGTTGTTGCTGCTTGGGCCTTTGGTGACCTACCTAAGAAGTCATTGCCAAGTCCAGTGTCATGAAGTTTTGGCCCTAGTTTTCTTGTAAGAGATTAAGGTCTTACATTTAGGTCCTTGATCCATTTTGAGTTCACTTTGTATATGGTGTGAGGTAAGGGTCAGTTTTCCCCTGCATGTGGATGTCCAGTTTTCCCAACACCATGTGTTGACACCCTTGTCAAAAATTACTTGACCGTATATGTGAGGGCTTTCTGGGCTCTCTATTCTGCTGAATACTCAAGGGAGACCTTCTGCAGACCTCCCTCTGCCACTCTGGTACTCAAGCTGCCTGTCTCCTGCCTTCCAGCTACAGAGAAAATCCCTCCATCACTAGGCCCAGCTGGGCTCACCCACACACATAGACAGGCAGGCCAGATGTGCAGATCCCCAACCTCACACATACATCATGTGTACGTACATTATGTCTGTGCACATGCCCAGGTGCATAGCACCCACCTCTCAGGGCCTACATGAGACCTGCTTAGAAGACCCCGGGCTCAGTGACCTCACTCCTGTTGCCCCGCTGTTGGGAGCCCAGTGGAAGCAACAGCAGACACACTGCCCTCACAAACACTGGTTTCCAGGTGTGAGGGCACTTGCAGCCCCACATGCGAAATCCCCCCAGAGCCATAAAGCTGGCAGTCACTCAAACAGGGCGCTGTGAGGCCCGCTGACCAGGATCCTTTACACATTACCCCACAGGCGCAAGCAGCCCCGGGTGAGAGCCCCGGGTGGGGAGGTGATGTGGGGCTGACCTGGCGGATGAGGGCTATTTCCCGGCTCAGCCTAGGGCTTCCCCTGTGTGTGTGTGTGTGTGTGTGGGGGGGGGGGGGGGGG